CTCCAAGCCACGCGCATGGCCGTGGCCCTCTTCTGCCTTTCTCCCCCCCAGCCCCTGGTCCGGGGGAAGATAGGGGGCCAAGACTCGCATGTCCCTTAGGGCGGCACCTTTCAAAATCTTGGACCTGCGCAACTGTCGAGTGACCCCATGGCATCCTGGACCACGCAAGCACAATAGGTGGTTAGTCTTGTCCTGCTTCAGCCTCCAACCGCCCCTCCCGATTTTCTCTTCCAGTCGTGCCGTGGCCCCGTTCAATTGCTCCGTCACTTGCGCCGTGCTCGCCCCTAGAGTAACCGCATGCGTGCGCGTGGCGTCGTCCATGAAAGTGTTCAGTGCAAGGTCGTGCTTGGCACCCGTAATTGGGTTCACCGTGTCGTGCCAAGTTTGGTGCACCTCCCTCTCTCTCTCTCTCTCTCTCTCTCTCTCTCTCTCTCTCTCTCTCTCTCTCTCTCTCTCTCTCTCTCTCTCTCTCTCTCTCTCTCGCTCTCTCTCTCTCTCTCTCTCTCTCTCGCCCTGCACCCATTGGTCTACGTACAAGTTATACACATCATTGAATTGTCCTGGACATAGGGTAAACCCCATTTGTGCACCCACCGTCGTTTCTGCATGTAGCCATTCGTCTGCACACTGCATGCTCAATTGAGTGTTCGCGATAGCTCCCCATGCAAATGGCTGGTCTGCCTCCGTCGCCTATTCCCATGCCGTCGCTTGAAAGAGTGCACGCTTGGTGCTCGCAAATGCGTTGCTGCAGTCGTAATTCGCGTGCACAATACTGACTCCTGCCCCCCCTGCCCTCCACTGCACTGCCTGCAAACACAGAAGTGCACTCTCGCGGCTGCGGTGGGCCAACCCCCCCTGAACCCAGGGGGGGTGGAGAGGCCGGGGCCCCCTGTTGTGAATTCCCCAGTGCCAAGACATACTCATAGAGTCGTAAGCGCGCATAATTCGTTTGCCCCCGATGCCTATTTTCCATTGTTTTTATCAGCATCGAATGAGACCGATCGGTGCCAAGAGAGAGGTGTAACCTGCGACGCACGGCATGTCAGCAGAAGCTGGTCCAGCAGCGTCTGGAATAAGTAGGGCCCTAATCCCGCAAGAGCTGGTCTGTCCACAAAATACGGCTGAACTTCGCACGCTTGCTGCTCCGCGCCGTCCAGCTGCCCCCCTGTCCGCCCCAGCTTTTCCCCACACTTCCATCCCATCCTCTCTGCAATCCGTCGGCCAACTCGGTATTTGAACCGACTAGAATATTTGCTATCGTCTTCCTCCTCGTTCCTTTTTTTCGGCTGCCCTGATACGACTAAGTTCGATCTGCCTACTGAGAAGCTCTGGATGCTCTAGGTGTGTCGAAGGATCTAATATCATCCAGGTAAGTTCCACTGGTACGCCCCACCGAGGCCATGCTCTTCGTTCGGCAGCTTTCTTACAATATTTGAGCATCCATTTCTTGTCAAGCTCAACCTGGCCGAGGGTGTCGCGGCCCACTGGGAGACGGAGTTGCTCGCCGATGCGATCTATTTGCTCTTGCTCGAAATCCTCAAGCGAGATCTCCCTAGCCCCCAGCCCTCCCTCCTCTGGCGCTTTGCCTAACTCGTGGATCCATTCAGCTTTAGACCAGTGGGTACGAGCTGCCATGTAGAACCTCTCTTCGGGGCCGCGACCATTCCTCTGGCACTGTATTCTGAGCTTGCGCATGGAACTGAAATCGTTTCTCCGATGGGCTTCCCAGATTTCCTCCACAAGTTTAGCTCTTCTCGCCTTCTCAGCGTCCAGTCGGATCGCTTTCACTAGGACAGCCATTTCTGCTAACTCTTGCTGCACTTCACATAGCACCCCGTCTGTAGTGGCATCTACCATCCTTTCTCGCAACTCTCTCCGATCTCTCAGTAGTGCCATTCTACGTCGTCGCACAGCCGTCGCAGCCTCGTCCGCCGAGAGCTGGCCTTGTCTGAACACCTGGTCAAATGCCTTCCTCGCCGCCCCTCCCCAAAGTCTCCACATGGCATCGGGTGCGCTCTCCTCTTTAGCCGTCTCCCACTCCTCCCTCACCTCCTCCATAGCAGTCCCCAGGGTCGCGAAAAACTCGGGGCGTCTCGTACCACAGCGCAGGCAGTCCATGAGTTGGTCCCGATTCAAGGGCGGTTCCTTCTCTCGACGCACCGACGCAAAGCTGTTTTTCCCCGTCACGCTGAGGACCAGCCCAATTGGCATGTGGTCTCTGTGCCCTCTGCGTTTTATCAGTTGTAGGCGCTTCGCAGCTGTACGGAGCGCTACGCATCTTTGAACTAGTCCTAGAGCAGCCGCCGGGATAGCAATATGGTCGATAGTACTACTACTACCACCTTTGGCCGCATAATAGGTCGGTCCTACATCGTAGTAGGTCGTGACAATCGACAGGTTGGACCCAGCACACATCGTTCGAAACTTTGTTCCGTTTTCATGTTCTAGTTCTGAGTGGGCTGGTCCCGTAGTGTGCCCCCAGTTTTTTTCCACAACCCCG